GCATCACTAAGGACGATATTACATGTTTTCACTTATCATAGCCAAATTACAGATTCCTCTCTATTCCTTTATTTCAGAGCATATGTACATATATTTCAAGTAAATATTAGTAGATTAAAATTTTATTATAAACACATTTATAATAAAAATAATAAAAAAGAAAGATTACTCTTAAAATTGGAGGGACTTATAAATTTGAAATAATCCAGTCACGATCACACAGTAACTCTACTACATCTCTGGGAAATGGTATCGCCTTTCAGCATCATCCAAAACTCACTACTTCCACCCATTCCCCTGTAGAACTGCTCTGAGTCCTTACAAATAGGCAGTAGAATTATGTCTTCCTAAAATAGTCACTAACTCCTTGATGTTACCGCTACCTTAGAATCTTTTTTTCCCACTTACTCTAAAATTCTGACACAAACTCTTATTCCTCTGAGGCATTCAGTGGCCTAAGAGATTTGAATGTACATGAAAGAAAGGCTTTCTTAAGGCAAAATAGGTTTATCCCTAGAGAAATATCATCTGGCCAACCCTACAAAGGCCTCCTGGAGGCTTACAGTCTGTGGATTGGTCTGCTAGGCACAAACTTAATCTCATGATGTGGGCTAAAAGATTGGCACATGCCTACTAAACATCCAGATATTCAGTTCCATTCAATTCCTTCAAATTATACATATACATATATATATACATGTATATATATATGTATGTATATATAATATATAAAATGGTCAGAGGATAAGATATTCATGTTGGACTGTTCAAGCCATTTCCAACCTGTAGGCTCCATGTAAGTAAAATAATTTTAAGATCATTTAGAGAGCAAAATATAAAAATGAGAGCAATGGTTTGACTGAGTGAAGAGTTAATAACTTTGGACACTGATTGTCTGTTGTTTCCATCACTGCTGTTGAAACTCTGGGAGTGCCAGTCCAAGCTGGCTTCTCGGGGTGTACCACCTTGGAGACCACTGGAATAGATGGCAGTAGTTGGCTTTAAGGAACTTCTTTTGCCACGTCCTACCCCCTTCCCTTAGGGAACTACTTTTTCTTTAGGTATTGTGTTAGTCTGGGTGGCCTAGAGAATCAAATTCATAGACACTCGTATGTGTATAAGAAAGAGCTTTGTATAAAGAGTAACTGTACCTTAAGAAAACATCCCAGCCCAGTCCAAATCAAGTCCATAAGTCCAATATTAGCCCATATGTCCAATACGAATCCATAAATTGCTCCTCAGACTCACGAAACACATGCAATGTTGCCGAATGTAGGAAGATCACAGGTCAGTGGGTAGAAAGTCTTGTGGATCCAGTGGCAGTAAAAGCATTTCAGTGCTGGCAGGAGTCTCCATGTGACTCCTCCAGCATAGCTCCATCAGGCTAGTAATCAGCAATGTCTCACAGGGAGTGAGCATGTGTCCCACCTCCAGCAAGCTATTTATCTCCTTAGCGCCTCCAAATGAGGTCATCAAGCTGCGACCTGATTGACAGGCTAAACTCCACCCCTTCATTCTTAAATCTCAAATTGACAACAGATTATGTAACTACCACAGCTATACTGATAGTTTTCCGTAATTTTTATACTATCTGGTTTGATCTATAATGTGTTGTTTTGATAGGTTAATTTTCTAGACAGGATCTTATTTTCTACATTTTGAAGAAAGGGAAGCAAGGGTCATCATAAACAATGCTGTGAGTATGGATGCTTATAAACACACATACACACACACACACACACACACACACACACCATAGACTCTGGGCTGCATTGAGTTAAGTATTTGGACTACTGTACCTAGCTCAACCCTATCCACCCACTTATGCTGCTTGACTTGTGGAATGGCAGGGCCTTGACTTTCTCTTTAGCTTCTCCTGCCTCTTACCCTGAAAGCACCATTTGTGTAGCTGTATATAGAGCAACCCACTTGTACAGCTCTTGACTGGAGTGTTCAGTAGCAATGGGGATTCAGCCTCATTAGCTCTACTGTGAGTATCTCAGATTTTAGCTGAAATTTTCTTTAAAGGGTCAGGATCTCTTTCGGAACAAACCATTTGCAAACATTTGAACTGGAAACTGAATTAGGTTTAAAAACAGAAACTTGAAGAGTTTTAGCCATAGCCACTATCGCTCTGAGAAGAATGTACCACCCTATATTCAGTCGGGTGAAGGACAGAGAGGTCGGTGTCTAGATCTTCAGCAAGAGGAGGAAGCATGAGGACTGCCAAAGTTTCAGTTTTATGTTCTCTGACATCGTTAAATGCCTTATTATTACATGCAGTTCTGTGCATATTTACCATGCTCAAACATTTGTTTGGTTGGGATATTAGATTTCTGTGTTTCCACTCTTCTTAATATACTTAAATCTCATTTCTAAACTATGTCTATTACATTACTGGAAGTGATGATGTATTCAGGTTTTCAATCAACTCTTTTACGAGTTGGATTGACTATAAATTTGTTGGCATATATTGATGATCTCTCATTCTCTTGCCCAGGAATCATTGCTTCAACTCATATATTTCAACCGCCCCACTTTCTTATTTGACAGTAAAGTACACCACCAGAAGCATAACAGAGCACTCCCAGCTCGGGATAAACTAATTAGCAGTTTGTGTTTGGTTTATTTGGTATGCTTTTTTTAATGCAATGGAAACTGTTCCCATCTCACTTGATCAAGCTGACTGGATAATGAATTCATGAACATATCCAGCTCTTAGCATGCGGAGGCTCTCGGGCTGCCCTAGGCTTCCGTTTATAACCGTGGAGACCGCATACGCCCAGAAACTCTATTGGGATGAGAGGAGAAACTCAGCGAAGATAAAATAGTCTGAAATCCGCATTTTGAGTGGAACATATCTGTGCAACATAAGAAAGAAACTCCTTGATTTTTTGGTCACTGACAGAGGGAAAATAGGAATAATAAAAAAAAAAGGCAGTTCAAAAATATACTATGACTGAAAACATAGGGTATAACTGAACAGTAGGGAGGTTACAGAGAATTCTCCAGCTGTAGGTGTGCAGAGCAGTGAAGAGTTACTAACAAAACACTGGCTAGTTAGTTATGGGAGAAGATTGTGAAATAAGAGTGAGCATCAGTGCTGGGTCATTACTTCAGCAGAAGGGCTGACAAGCCCACTGCTAAAGTCTCCTTTAAACAGCAGGTGCACAGCTTGACCATTCTAGCTGGTAGCCCCCTGGTCCTGGCAGAGAACAAGCCCATCTTGGCATGGGATTCATGAATGACCATAACCATTTCAACGTGTTTCTAAACACCATGGTCACGTTTGCATATCGGAAATTTCATCCAAATACATTTTAATATATTAAAGTACATTTTAGTGCACTGTTTACATAATGGAAATCTCACCCCTTTGAGTTTTATTTACTGACTCTGCAATTTGCTACTGAAAACACCATGCCACAAAATTCTAAAGTAGCCTGAAGGAATGGATCAGAAACCAAATGAGAAAGAGTTGTGGATCCTCTTACTGTTCTGCCTGTAAATCACGCACTCAATTTAATGGTAGCAATATCAGTGATGGAATCTTATAATGCAAAAAGGATCACCTGACAGCATAGCTAACGAGACACAGAGAACAAATAAATGAGGTCTCCAAATTTGTTGTCATCTTCATGGTAAACCTCATGTAGCACTAATCTTGGTATAAGAATTGAAAAAGCAGTAATCTTCCCAAAGTACCTAAATATCCCTGCACTAAACACACTTAACAACTTACTTCAAAGATAAATGTTTTGTGATGGTTCCTAGATCTTAAAATGTGTAGATATTTTACAGCTCTGCTTAAATATAAAGAGCTTGCCTCTTTCATTAATGCCAAAGGAAGTTTTTCTCCTGAGGAATATGCTCAGTATGCATAACTGTGAGCAAAAAATTAAAAGGATTAGCTATAATAAAAAGTATATCCTAATGGACAGATAATAGGAAATACATTATTCCATAAACATAGTAACCCATTCAGATTCTCCCATTACTGATAAATTAGAATTTGTGAATATATTTAGACTGACGACAAAAATAGTTCTGTTTCTCATGTATTTGGGGAGGAACTCTCAAGATTATCAAGTTTTCATTATAAAACTCTCAGTCATAAAATGAACATACAAATAACCCCCAAAGACCCCTTAGCTGTAGTGCTACGGTCCGCGGCGATGGTACCTGGATGAACAGGGTCAAACGTGACTGTGTAAGCACCGTGTCATAGAAGCTTCAGAAAACACACGGAGCTTACTTCTAACATGGGCATGGGCAAGGATGTTTTTTTTCTTTCTGATAAGTTTAAATTTCACATAACATTGCTAAAATAGGCCAAATATTTGGCATTGAAATATTCCTACAATATTCAGTTTGTACTGTTTGCGTATCTACATAAGCGATTCTGGAATGGCTTTTGCTCTTTCAATAGCTTTATTTTGGCAATAAAAAATGTCTGGGTTCTAGGCACCGTCATGTTCACAGCAGATGATAAAAGATGCCTGAAAGAATACATTTGCTGAAATTTGCATTTGCTTTTGGAAAATGTCTTTTTCACAATTGGAAGTAGTCATATTTTAACGTTTAAGCACCCACATTGAGAAAGTATCAAGGTATTGGAGCATTTTACGCTTAAGGACAGTATGCTGGGCTTTGAAATTCAAACAAACTAAGATGTTTCTCCTTAGATTATTTGATGATCAATGCGCCATCTAAACACAAGGAAAATTAAAGCTGTCTGACAACTCACAGAAACATCACTGGCTGTTAGAGCTGTAGGAAGTTGCATAGCAGCATACAAAGCACTGGGTAATTTTGTAGTTTCTTCTCTAAACGCAGTTGTCAAGGTGTCTGTCTTTCGGTTCTTTCTTCTGAAGTAAGGTCTTTGAGTTCTTACCCTTTGAACGAGCTTTGCCGACTGTAGCATTGCCCCTTGATGTACTGCTGGACCCTACCAGGCCAAGACGGTTCTTACAGGGGGCTGTGTTTATGTGTATTCACAGAGAATGCTAACAAATTAGAAGAAAGTGCCAGAGAACACCACATACCTTGTCCAGAGCATTATAATGGTTTCTGCATGCACGGCAAGTGTGAGCATTCCATCAATATGCAGGAGCCATCTTGCAGGTAACATTTTCATTCTCTAACTATTTAAATGCATCAACTAAGAAATGTAGAAACTCAATATTAGCTGCTTACAACAAATTGGTTGGCATTCTGCCTGCATAGGTGGCCAACGACAAAACTTTTCTCTGCCTCTCCTGCACACACATGCAACTTACACACACACAGAGGAAACCCATAAAAGGGGAGTCTCACGCTGTCAAGTACTAAGGAGCACGACATTCTGTATACCCTTCTAGTAGAATTTGGAAGCAAACTTTGTGCTCCCTAACAACACAGATGTCTCTGTATTCGTGTGCTCAACCACTCTTTGCCCAAAGCCACCCTGATCTCTAACAGTGCTTGGCGCCTAGAAGGTGCTCAAGAAGCAGGTCTTTACAAGTGGACAGGGCCTTCCTCTGCTCTAAATAACATAGGTGCCTCGGAGAGGGCGTCTCTTCTGTCACCCAATGGCCGTCTAACGAATACCAGCCACCGCGGTTTCAGCAGTCACTCGTTATGTGCTACGGCTGCCCTGCCCAGAAGCCTGGGATAGTGATGTGAATAACCCCTATGTCTCCACCGTCCCAAACTCAGAGGAGACACAAGGAAATTGCTTGTCTGGATCTGCTTCATAAAAAGAAATTGCTCTTGCATTTTATGGTTGAAGTATAATTATTTCACAGATGGTTCTTACCATCTCATTTCAAAATGAAAAAAAAAGTTTTTATTTACATTACTATTATAGGAAGAGGGTCTAGAAATTTTGTGAAAATGGAGTTATGGTTAGATTTTCCACAACATTTTTGAAGCTCCCTTATGTATTTGTGGTGTAGGGAAAAGTAATGGCTCAAAGGAATTTGATCTTCCTGTGTGTGTGTGTGTGTCTGCTCTTTCCTCTTCTCCACCCCCTGTCTTCCCTTTCACTCTTCCCACGTCTTCCCCTCCTTCCCACTTTCCATTGGTCCAAGATCTGTCTCCTTTCCTGTTGCCCATCGCTGCCTCGCTGAGCACCTGCCTTCTGCAGGAAGAGGAGGGCTCCTGCCGCTCCGAGGCAGAAGCTCCATGAGTCAACCCTTCCTAAGGCCAAGAGAAGATCTCAAGATGTAGTTAAAAGATATGAAAAGTGAAGTTCTAAAAGAGTATTTTATGGTCACATGCTTACTTTCACATGCATATTGTCTTCCTGGGATGTCTGAGCAAGGGTTAAGCCATACGGGAGAGGCAGGTGTCATTCTGAGTGAATAACGCACAGCCGCGGTGCTTTGCTATATCATAACTGTTTATTTGTTTGTTTGTTTGCCAACAAAATTGAACTCTCTGAGATCAGCAGATGACTGTTACAGTAAATGAGAGAAATGGCTTTTTTGTGCTACTGGTGACAATAATTTTAACACTTTATTCTGATAGTATCACAGGAAATGGATTATTACTTTTCAAAAATAGCTCTGCTTTGTACATTCAGATCATCAGAAACAAATATTTTCTCAGTTAACTATATTGATGTAGATTGAATAAAGAGCAAGATAAAAAAATACATGTAGGATTCTAAAAAATATAGAAAGAACAATTATTCTTAAACATCAATTATCTTTCTGTATTGTCATCAAAGGCAGCATTTGCCCAAGGACAAAATTCAGAAGGCAAGCAGGATAAGGATAGGAGGAGGAATAGAAAACACAGGGGAAACGTGGACTAAGTTATACTACATTGTAGGGATTGCAACCAATGACACGAAACAATATGTGTACGAATTATTGAATGGAAAATTGAATTGCTCTGTAAATCTTCAATCAGTTTACAACAAGAAGGCTTAAAATATATTTACCAATCATCTTATGTTCAAAGTCCAGTATTCTAAGTATACCAAGAAATCAGATCTCTTTCAAACTAAATATGCAGAGGGACCATGTTGAAAATTCATAGCTAGGAAACTTACCCACAAATTAGTATTGTCTTAGGGAAATAAAAAAATAAGAAGATAACCTTAATTTTCTGATAAAGTACCTGTTCTTATGAGCCATCTATAAAAGTGAATCTGGCAGCTACCGGTATCTATATATTATATTTCTTCCAGATGCGATGCTGGCTATACTGGACAACACTGTGAGAAGAAGGACTATAGTGTTCTATATGTTGTCCCCGGTCCTGTCAGGTTTCAGTACGTCGTAATCGCTGCTGTGATTGGAACGATTCAGATTGCTGTCATCTGTGTGGTGGTCCTGTGCATCACAAGGTCAGTAACTGGACTCAGCGGCCACCCAGATGGGGGGGATATGCTGTCCTAATCCAGTCACGCTGATCATAGGTAACTTCACAGACTCTGTAAACCTGTCTTCTCAAAATAAGCGCACTTCAATAGGCAAATTGGGATGCTGGTTTTCATATTGGAGGGGTCCAAATGGTTTTTATTATTTTTGCATTATGATGAGTCTTATAGTCTAAACAGAGGTCAGTTTCCCTGATTGTATTATGTCAATGATTGTTGAAATATGCATTCAGGCTTCAGTCAAACTACTAGATAATTATTTAAATAATCAGTCCCTTTACTTTCCAAATTTGTATCCCAAATGAGGTCAGGGCAGATTTTATACAGGGTCTAGAAAATTATCAAATTACATATTTTATCCTAAATAAAGATGTCTTAGTAAGTGAAAAAGATTTGCAAATATAACAAAAAATGATATCACCTTCCTAATCCAATCAATCAGCAGCTGGTGAGCTAGCTTGAGAGATGTAGAAATCTCATCAAGTTCTGATAGGAAAGGAGAGTCAGGAAAGTGTAATTTGGGGCTTGAAGTAAAGCAGTGAGCCCAGATATCTGCTAAACTTTATTAGCATCCAGAGCACAACAACAAAGAAATTACATTTGAAACCAAATACTTATGTATTTCTATGTGACCAGAAAGGTTACTGTAGGCACTTCTCTCTGGCTAGGCTTCCCTGTTTTCAAAGTTCCAGAGAAGTTGTCAGAGTTTTTCCCAAATTCAGCAGGTACAGCTCTACAGTAAAACAGAATGCTTCTCCAAAAAATTATTTTCAGAAGAGGAGAAAATAAAGTATCATTTCGTTAGGAACTAAGGGCTATAAGACCCCTCAGTATCTGTATATTGCACCATGTTCTTTAAGGACAAGTGTGGCCTTTGCTCTTGAAAAAGAGAACACGGGGCTCATAAATCCTGCCAGGCTGAAAGGCTTAAGGGAAGATCATGACGGGAGCTTTGGGCTGCTCTCACCCAGGTTGAGTTCATCAACTCGACTCTCACATTCTGATGCCAAGTGCATCAATGGATTATATTAAAATAGAAGCTGGGAGCCAAAAGTACTGAGTATTAAAAATAAAAGGACTGCCTCTCCATTACGATAAGCATTTTACATTGGCTAATATCTGGGTAATATTGTGAAAAATGGAATTCATATTTAATGGATAGAATCTCAAAACAATATGATCGATACTTTGGGTGTGACAAAAGGCAAATGTTTAAATATGTTATCCGATGTTTGCAAGTCTGTTAGAAACTCACATTTCCATCCATTAATCACATTTACCTTCTTGCCAGTGGCTGTCACTTCCGACTCCTGGAGACACCATTGGTATCAGAGGATAACCGTGTGCACCAGCCAAGGACTCCAGTTTCATTCTTATCATACTCGCCAGATTCTATGCGTGCATATTTAGCATGTTATAACATGCAGTGGTACATGCATGCAAACACACAGACACCCCTGCAGAACACAAACTGATAACTTTCATTCACAGGCTCATGCACACACACACACACACAGACACCTATAGAACCCTGATAACTTTCATCCACATACTCACCTACAGTACCCAGATAGCTTTCATTCACACACCCCTACAGAACACAGATAACCTTCACACACACACAAGCATACACACATTTTCCCATATCTTATATGATCATGTGTTGTTTTTCTTCTTTATATATCCAATCTTTTTAGGTAATTTGAATGAAGTTGAGCTTTTGGAACCTATATGTGTCTGTGACTTATAGGATTAATGTACAGAAATACTAGCCTGACCCCAAAACAGTATTCCTTCCTATCACAGCTCAGGTATGAACAGTTGGCTCATTCTCTCGCACTGAAATGTCAATATAACATTTATCCTTAAGACATTTAAAATATGAAATTGTTGAAGACCTTTAAAATGCGCTTCAATGAGTCCATGACTTGCTTGATTGCCCCGAGCTGATTCATTCCTTGTGTTTAATGAGTCAGCGGCAAGGGCAAGGTCAATGTATTCTCCAACTGCTGCCTCTGTTCTTCAGTTCTCCTCCACAGATGCTTAGAGATGACTGCAAGGAGAAGCCAAGAAATAGATACGCTTTTCCAAAATAATTCCAGCTTCCACTACGAATGAGTTCTCAGCATTATAATAATTCCCTTCCTCCACAGCTTCACTCCGGTAGGTTCAAACTTCAGATAAGGGCATGGGACTAAGATTTGTAAACTTTCCAACCTTCTAGGAAATGCCCCAGAAGCAACAGAATTCACAGACAGAAGCAAAATACAGGGCACTACAGTTCAGACAACACCACAAGAGCATCCACGAGGCTAATCTAAAGGGAGCGCGCGTGGTTCCACAGTGGCCGGACTACGAGAGCTTGGACTACACAATACAGTATTATAGACAAAAGAATAAGACAAGATCTACACATGTGGCCTTGCATTTGTGGTAATCTACACCAATGAAAACATGTACTACAGCTATATTTGACTATGTATGGATATATTTGAAATAGTATACATTGTCTTGATGTTTTTCTGTAATGTAAATAAACTATTTATATCACACAATATAGTTTTTTCTTTCCCATGTATTTGTTATATATAATAAATACTCAGTGATGAGAAAAAAATGGCATTCTTAAATTTTCGGTATTTCATCTTACCCACATCTTGAGACAGAACATTCGTTTGCACAGGACTCCATGGCTAGGTTTTGAGTCGTTTCCAGGTCAAGGGAAACGATGGTTATTGGAAAATGGAAAAATAATTTACTTTCTATCGAGTGAGGATAAAATATTTCAGATCTTTGAATCATCTCTATTTCATCAACTTCCTTCCCTAGTCTTCCATTTTCATCCCCAGAGCAGAAAAATCTCTGGCATATAAATGAAATAAAAAAAGAAGTGGGGTGGGAGTGTTTTATAACTCATAAAGGAGAGGGAGAGAAGATATTGGTTTTTATTTGGGAAGCAGTTTAGAATTTCCCAATAAAGAATATATATCCAAAGGGTCCTTGAGCAATGTACAACTCCAAGTGCCAAAATTTATTTCATTTAGGTGAGTGAAATTAACAACTAGGGGAAATTTCATAAAAGTCATTAAATATGAAACATCAACATCATAAATTCTCAGAAGCACCTTGCTGTATTTATAGTATATGGTTCTTTGAAACGAAGTTAGAATCACAGCTAAATACTTCATGAACAGCTTTCTGGTTAATGTGGAGCCATTCCTGGAAATGGAACTAAGAAGATGCCAATATTTCATGAAATCGGCACATATTTATATGATGAAATAAGCTAGAACCCCCCCCCCCCCCCCCCCCCCCCCCCCCCGCATCAGAAAGACCTCAGTGGGATGTTGGCATGGGATTTAATTGGCTCAATTAAAGAATACACGTATGTTTAATCAGTTTGTTTAGAAGAAGTACATTGTGAACACTTTCAAACAATGGATGAAAAAAGTAAGGTGAACTCATTCCCATTGACCTAAACAAACCTCTTCCTTTCCTTCAGACGACCTCTACATCCATTTAAAGGAAATCACACTACTGCATCCAAAATGACAATAATAAGACACACAATCAAACCAACACTTTCTGAATATTAAATATTCAGTGAAAAGCACAGAATGATATTTAAGCTATTTGCTAAAACATAAATAAAGGTGACAATCTAAGTAGGATTTAAGACTTTGTAAAAAACCTGGTTTCTAAGTCAGTCATTACTTAGAAAAGTGTTAAGTTTATTGGCATAATCATTTCTCAAGTGTTTCCATAAATCGGTCCTAAGCTCTTTGTATAAGATAAATTCTTTTTAAACTCCTGTATGAGATTTTCCTTTGGCTGAAGGTGCGGGAAGTGACCAGCCCTGTTTTCCTACGAGAGGCAGTGGTGGTGGAAAACACCAGGTTCCCCTCCTCAGAAACAAGCAAAAATGCAACATCACAGTGCATCATAGCATTGATGGAAAACATTTCTACTAACTTTTGAGCTTTCGAAACAGCTTCCTTCATCAGACATAGATGAATGTTAGTAACTATAGTGTAACAAAAGTCCCTGCAGTTAATACTGCTATATAGTCCTGTTGACTTCCATATGCACTCACCCCCACCTCCTTTAAAACATGCACCAGTGAATCTCAAGTGAGAAAATATGTGTCAGGCACGATTCGAGGCCGTGGAGAAATATAAATAAAACATGGCCTCTAAAAGTACTGAAAATCTGCTGAAATATCCCATCTAGCCTCTACTTGCATACTTCCTATAATTTGGAATCAATGCTCCTTTGGTCTTCAGCAATTTACTCCTCGACTATTCTTCATACAATGTGCTTTCCATATTTTTCTAGCATCTGTATTACCCTTCCTTGGACACACTATGTATTTTTAATGTCTTTGTTTAAGTATGAAACTCAGAATTGGACAGCCTCCAGAAGTAACAGTCTGCCGAGCACAGAACACAGTAGCACTTTTAGAAAGCAACATGAACTGACAGTCATTATATCTAAAACTCAAGTCCGACTTTAACCACATCATTGCTATGGAATCTTGAACAAGTCATTTCATAGCTCAAGATTCAGTTTTGTCATCTCTCAATAAGGTGGTCACTCCTAGCTCTGGAATCCCAAGAGTCAATTTAGTCAGAATCTAGACACTCTATGCCTCTTTGCTGCTACCCCTAAGACCACATTCTCTGATTTTGCATCCCTGCGTCCAATCGGAACTCAAAATTGTTCTTAAATTCACTACTGGGAACCCATGTCATCCGTTCATGCAGTTATCCATTCATTACATACGCACGGGGCTCCTGCGTATCCCGGCCGGTCTAGGCACAGGGAAGGCCGGGACAAGGAAGGCAGAGGCTCTGCCTGGAAGCAACTCCTTACCAGCTCATCCGGGTTCTTTGCATGGAATATCTCACCGGTCTGTGGGAGAAACGGAAACACAAACACAATTATCAAGAGTGGAGAAAGGCCATGGTTAAGGTCAACTCAGAGGGCTGGCCTCCCCTTCACAGACCCATCAAGACAATGACTGCATCTTTCTCCATGACCACGAAGACTGCTTGCTTCGGAAATTGTACGCACAATATTCTGCCCTCTTCCCACCCAACTTTTCTTGACAAAACCCAGGGAAAATGTCAGTTTATATTCATCTAGCTTCTGTGATTTCCCCCCGTAGTCTTCCAAATCATAGGACGCTTTACATTGTGTTCTTTAATTGGCCATGCAAGCCTTGTCCATTCTATGGCCTGCATGCGATGAGAAGGCAGAAACGTCTGCCTCACGGAGCATTTGACTAATTGCACAAACCTATATTGGGTGCCCACACCATGCCAGACAGTCCTCTAGGGAGGGTGATCTGTCAGTGGGCTAGATCAACAGGTTTCTGCCCTATGGCTTGCATTCTAGTGGAAGTGGGCGAAAGGGGAGATTTAATTAAACAAGAAACGAGAAAACAGCCAATGTGATAAAGTAATTAAAAAGAGAGTAAGGTGACATGTGGTGACTGTATGGTAGTGGGATTCAATGCCTCCAAGGAGGCTGTGGTATTTCAATCTTGGTCTCTGAAGCAAAACAAAAGGTGCTCAGACCAAGCTCCACTTGACTAACTACTTAACCATGGGCAAGTTGCCCAAGTGCGCTGTAGCTCATCTCTAGAAAGGAGAGACAAATGTCCTCCTCTTCCCAATACAATTGATGTGCAAAAACAATCCAGGTTAAATGCCTGGACCAGTGACATGAACTTCCAGTGGATGTTAGCAAAGTTTGTTTGTATTTTGTAACCAGTTTCTAAATACATGTTGGAAAAGGACAAAGAAGCAGAACAACAGCTAATCAGCTAAATGATGTGTAATCGGAATCACCTACAATCACAAAACGTGGGCGTCAGCAGTTATGTTTCTCAAAGGCGGGTCTCTTACCTTTGAGCCAGGAGCCTGGTGTGGGCTGTGGAGACCAAGGCAATACGGAGGGAAGAAACAATTGTGCCTCTGGAGTTTTTCCAGTGAGTCCACTGGCCCGGGGAGGGAGGGCACAGAGAATCATTCTTCCATTTTAAGAGCTGTCTACCCTGGTAAAGCTCAGCTAAGCCTCTCCTGTGTTTCCAGGCCTAGGATAAGTGAGTCAATATTTCAGGACTTTGTAAGGCCAAGTTCTTTTCTTTCACAAATCCTTGAGGAGAAGTCAGTGCAGACTATTGAAATATGACAGAGATGATATCAAAGTCCTATCGGACTCTGCTGTTTATCTTCATATTCTACTTCCCATTCCCTAAGTTACACAGCAACTGCGCTGCCAGTTACCCAAAAAACAGTAAAAGAAACTGAATGGATTGCCAGTCGGAGTCCACTGTAATTCTTGGGGACCCCGTTTGTTGCAGAGTGGAGCTGCTACATAGGCTGTGTGACAAGCAGGCAGACTTTCTCCTGAGATACCCCCGGGTAGGTTCAAGCACCAATCTTTTCCTAAGGAGTGGAGCCCTTCCCCATGTGTGTGACCCACGGCTTCCTTGTACTACCTGATGGATTTTAATCAGATGGATGTTAATAATAAAAAATTAAAATAATTAATTTGAATACATGAACACTTATGTGAAAGGTAACTCTAAAGTAATGTGATCAATTTTACAACCAATGCATAAACAGACAGGAACCCTAGTGGCACAGTGGTTAGGCACAGGCTGCTAGCATCCTGGTCAGCAAGTTTGAAGCAAACAGCTTCTCTGAGGGAGAAAGAGGAAGCTTTCTTCTCTCATAAAGAGGTCGTCTTGGAAACCCACGGGAACTGCTGTGTCAGGATTTCCCTGATGACAGAGAGTTTGGCTTTTGGAAACTAGCAAATGAAAGTTACCCTTTGAAATCAACACAAGGAAGCTATGTACGATGTGTGTCCACCAACCTACTCATAGACCTCTTTCCACCCATTCTGGGTCTTGATATCTTGATTGACACTTATCTCCCATAATTCCTTGAATAGCAATTTTACCTTGAGTATTTTTGTTGTTGTCCTTTAATTTCATGTTGACTATTAATTTAATGTTCCTTATTTCCTTTGCCGCAAGTAAGAAGTGAAGGAGAACGTGTTTAGCTTGATTTTTCCAAACCAAACTTAACCTAACCCCCAAATCTAACTTTGAGTTCTTGAGAAGTCTGAAATCGAATCTTATGAGAGAGAAAGATGGGCGTCGGCGAGCGTCCTAGTCCTCTCTTGCTGCCATTGTGAGACTCCCTAGCCCTTCTGGTCAGTTAGAGGCCCTCATTTCACCCCAGGCTTGCCACAGAGATGTCCCTGAAGCAGCAACCGTCCCAGTGCACCCCGTTTCTAGTTCTGGTTTTCTGAGCAGGGTACACTTCAGAGGGAGCAGCAGCCAACTTTAAGGCAAGTAACAGCTATTGTAGAAATGCTTTGCTACTCTGAATGTCTCTGCTCCTGGGTTTCTTCCCGTTCCCCAGAGATCTCACAGCCTAGCCTCTTTCCTCACTTCATAAAGTATCCGAGCTCTGCTGCCTCCCCTCTCTGGTTTCATCTGATTTCATTCTCCTCCATGAATCTAGAGACCTTGAAACAA